GCTGCAGATGGATTGTTCTTGAAGGCGCAGCTTCACTCTGGCTATGTTTTCTCTATCAACTACAGGCCATTCAACAAAGGCAACTTCTTTGAGCGAAAGAAAGATATGGTTGAATCATTTCTTGCAACAAGGCAACTGGGGAAGCTGGGAGCAACTTGTCATGGTGATTTGTTGGTCACTGTAATTTATTTGATTTTTGTGCTTTTTGCTGTAAAAAATCAATGATGTGGACTCCACCTAGGTCGGCAACACTGCAGGAGCATTCCCACTGGCGGTCAAGATCATGACTCCTAAGCTTGACACCCCTGTCTTGATGCTGCAAATGGCCACCAGGCCCTTGTGGACCTGGTATACGAGGCAGGTGAAGAAGGTCAAAACCCAGTTCGACGCAATTGACTACGCCATCTCAATGGTGTTGCCATTGGAAGGATGGTCATGGATGGGAGAGGAACACCTGCGCGACCTTGCAAAGGTGCTTTGCAGTGAGGAGGTATCAAAGTTCAATTGTGAAAATGATTCCCTGTCGGCGCTCAAGATATTTGAGTTGATTATGCAGTTGCTTGCGGGGCGGACATGGTCATTGGCTGTTCGGCGTGCCCTGCCCCCAGAGCAATATGCTGAGTGCTCTCTCCTGAGAAGGAAGTTCGCAAGACATCCCTGGAGCTTTTGAGGAAGCATCACGAATGCCTTCTGAAATGGGAGGATGATGTTGCCAGTGATCCAAGTTTGAAGGAAAGTGTTGTTGCTCAGCAGCTCCAAGAAAATGTTTGCTTTGCAGTCAACCGTCCGGCAAGACTTATGATGGATGCATTTGAAAGCATTGACTATGACCACAGGCGACTGCGAGGGTATGGCCACAAGACCAGCGTGGTACTGGGGCAGAACCATAAGGAAGCTGGAGAACACTTGCTGCAGACATTGATCCAAACATTCCCTGACAACAAGATAGTTGAAGATGTTCACAATGCCTTGCGATTGGAAGCCAGGGGAAACAAAAATAACAAATTGACGCCTTCAACCATGCAATCGGTTTGAATGAACTCTGGAGTCCTTGAAAGCCGTGGCGTTTCACATCAAGCTGAAGTATCTGAGTCTGAGTTTATTCAGGCACTGGGATCTGTGAAGAGAGTCAAGGAAATGTACTTCTCAAAGGCGCACGTGTTGCCTGAAGAATGTATTTCAATTTGTAGCACGAGGTCATGGAGTGCATTTACAGAGGAGTCATTGGAAACAGGTGCAGCAGCTTGGGCCTGGCTCCAATTTCAGTCTCAGACCCCTTCGGTCTTTGGCAACCTGAAAGCCACCTCAGGAGTCTTCAGCAAAGTGGCCAGAAGGGGCCTGGTGTTTTAGCTGGAGGACACTGTGTCATCGCCGCCACAGTTTTCTTTGGGTCATGCTGACTGGGGTGTGTTGATGTGGC